TAGTTTCAATTTTTCGCCCCGAGAAGTATTTTTCCATGCCTGCCCCATCCCTCCAATTTCTCAAAGAATCTCTGCTAGCCTGCCCCCTCCATCCCCTCCAATTCCTCAAAGAATCTCTGCTAGCCTGCCCCTCCATCCCCTCCACCTCCTCAAAAGAATCTCTGCTACAGCCTGCCCATCCATCCCACTTTCATTTCTCAAAGAATCTCTGCTAGCCTGCCTCCTCCATCCCCTCCAATTCCTCAAAGAATCTCTGCTAGCCTGCCTCCTCCATCCCCTCCAATTCCTCAAAGAATCTCTGCTAGCCTGCGGCCACTAATTCCTGAAAAAATGTTTGTTATCTCACCATAATCCGTGCTTCCGGTTTCAGAGGCCTCCGTAGCTGTCGTATCACCGTCAGCCTTTTCTACCGTCGTCGCATCAGAATCTGAGGTGACGCTACCAGAAGTGCCGCCTTGCGAATTTCCGGAGGTCTCTGAAGCTTCAAAGGCTCCAGTCGTCTGCGAAGCCGCAGGAGATGACGTTGAAGTGGTTGTCGTGGTTCCTTTAGGATCAGATTCGGGGCCAGAATTGGATCCTGTAGTGGTAGACGTAGCTGTAGTTGTTGTCATACTCGTCGTTGTCTTTTCTGCTTCTTGGTCTGGTCGGCTAGTTTCCAATTTTGCAGTCGTCGTCATCGTCGTTGTTGCAGTGGTCGTAGTATCAGAATGGGTCGTATCGGCGCTGCTGGTAGATGCAGATGTCGTCGTCGTTTTATTCCTAGGATTTTAAGTTTTGAAGAGGGCGAGGTGAAGTAAAGTCTAGCCCTAACTTTTTATGCGTTCTAGGGGAAGGCTAATGGATTTTACAGAACTACGATATGCACGAGTCCTAGTATTTTTCCAAATTTGTCTGATTTCTGTGGCATTGTTAAAGGGAATAAACAATGCAAACTTACTCGAATATGAACGGGAAAGAACCGATGATGATGGGCAGCCCATTCTAAACTTTTTTTTGTTTACAGGGACTAGGAAGTGGCAAAATTGATCCCTTCACTCGACAAGATCTCCACAAATACGCAACGCCCCGTATGACCCTTGGAAACACCAAAAGCGTTTTTTCTTTTGACAACCTCTATTGTCATGAAACTTTGCTGAAAATCCATTTGCGCGGGTGTAGTCATTGGAATCTAGCGTAACTGTCGAGACCCAATCGATGGAAAGCGTCGATTGCATGTCATAGTCCCTTTCCAAGCCAAATAAGATCTTTTCACTACATTTTTTGTTGTTGTCGATTCCCCATCAGTTGCTTGCGGTGCTAAAGGTTCAAAATTAGTGATTTTTGGAGGTCAAGCGTACTGGAGGTTTCCTCTGTCGTGGCGTTGGATGGATCCTGTGAAGTCGTCGAGCGACTGGAGCGGCGCTAAATGGACAGGTTTTTGGAAAAGGTTCAAAAGATTCAAAAATCTTAAACTAAATGGAACGCGCTTAACGCAACTGAGATCTGGATGCGGTTTCTACCTTTTCACGTGTCGTAGTTTCGGTTGAATTGTCGGAATCAGCTGTTGGATCTGGGGGCAGGGTTGTCGTTGCCGTCGCGTTTTCGAAATCCTAAAAAATAGCTTTCGCTCTCTCTCTCTCTCCCTCTCTTTCTCTTTCTTTTTCTCTCTTTTTTCTCTCTGTTTCTCTTTCTCTTTCTCTCACTCTCTCTCTTTTTCTCTCTCTGTTTCTCTTTCTCTTTCTCTCACTCTCTCTCTCTCTCTTTCTCTCTTTGTCTCCCTCTTTCTCTCTCTCTCTATCTCTTTCTCTCGCTCCTAGCTTGTACAAGACCAACCATCATTTCCGTTGTCGAGCTCGGCACCTCATTTGCAGAAGTTGCAGTTAAGTTTTTCACGAGTGACGCAAAACATTCTTCCGGATTCGGGGATGCCATACATTCAAGAAAAGTTTCTCCTATATAAAAACGCTTTTAGTGAGTACAACCAGTACCGGAAACTCCATATGGTATCGATAGAAGTATCACCAACAGCAGGGCCCGCATCTCGAGAATTTGGGGCCGAATCTCGGTTTTCAGCTCTCAGCCGGCAGGCTTTATCCGATCCGGCAATTCGCCGAGGGTCACCGGCAACCCGCTAGGCAACCACACAACGACTCAAAAGCGAGATTATCAAAAAAACCGGAGCTTTTCCAGGACGCTAAGAATTTCGAAAACAAGTGAAAAATGTGAATAAAAATCTTTTCGAGATTTTCTGCTGTTCACGATTTAGAATCGCCTTCAAAAATGCCTTTTATTTTCCCATAGCTATTAGCTAGCAAAGCGGATTTTTGATAGCGTTTTGGCAGCTTTAATTATTGAAAATTCGAAAATCCAGATCTTTTATGAGCATTTTTCATACATTTTTCATAATTTTGAAAACTTGGAAAATTTTTATATGCGTTTTATCTCTCAAACTGTGTAAAATGCTACATTTACTAAATGGTATATAGTTTGCTATACTAAGGCCGTATAGAATCACAGGGAAAAATTTGGCTTCTTCCGCTAAACCCCGCCCCGCCCCCTGTTAATAGCCCAATACCGGTGAGTGTACGCGCGTTGCTCGTAGCGGCGCGGCGAAAATCATTTTAAATCATCATCTTTTAAAATATGGATAACTATGCCTTGCTTTTGCCTTTAAAGCGCACGTTCAGGGAGGGGCCGTGTACTCGGCCCAACGTGTCCACCCTATGGACGTCGGGACCGCGCGCACCTCCTCCCCGTGCCGTGGGAGGCGATTCCTCTCCTTTCCGGGGTGGGGGCCCGGATTCGACCCCGGGTCGCGGCAAAAATCTTTGCTTTCTTGCCCAAAACCTCCCTAAACGAGCCACTTAAAGGCGCCGTTCGTCCGTTTAAGGTACCGTATCGGGGGTAAAAATGCATTTTTTTTAATTTAAAATTGTATTAACAGATTCCAGGGTTTATATTGCTGAATATTAATATTTAAAAATCATACAATAAATACAAATGAAATAAATTCAATTTAATTCGATATTCACCACCACCTCGAGCTGATTACGGTCGAGCCATCGGGGCCAGTTGATAGCGTCCGTATTGGGGCCGGTAGCCGGAATAAGTTGACTCTAAAGGGGCTGGTAAGCCTGGCAAATTAATGAGACGTCTACAGTATTTTATCGGAAAGTGACATGTTAGTATTTTTTCTGGATTTCGAGGTATAAATAAAGGCGTTAAGAAGGCAAAAATCCGAGTTTAAAAAATTTGCAAAATGCTAAGTAAAAATATTCCTTTTCAAGGCGTTTTGACAGTTTAAATTTGAAGGCTTTCCGGTTTTATATACAATAGTAGAATAAGGTATATGTCATCTTATTAAATTATTAAAAAAAAATCGAAATTGGTTATAAAATAAATAATTTGTCATTCTTAACGTTTTTCGAATGCAAGAAAGCTAAGAAACTACGGTATTAATATTGCACAAACTATAAAATTTTAAATAAGACAATTTATCAATGATTCAAATATGTTAAAGACCTTAGTCAGTTCAGATTCAACCCCCTTTCCTCGACTAGGTCTAGACAGCAGCTACGCGACACTCCAAAAGACGTGTGGAGTCTTGATTTCGGCAGCAATATCACGCGTTTATAAGGCTTTTAAGGGATGGGAAAGCAGTGTTTTCCAATTTGCAACGCAACGCGCACGCACCGCGCACCTTTTTTAGAGACGCAAAAAACAAAATTTCCAAATGTTCTTTTGCGTGCCGCGTAGCTGTCGAGACCTAGGAGGTAGAAGCGGCAGATTTTGAAACTGGTTAGCGCATTTTAAAGAACTTTTTTGAGCTACTTAGAGCCACATCCATGCTTTGACGGATCTGTTTCGTTAGCGGGGGGAGGGGCAGAGGATGTACCAAGATGCCCGTTTTGCCACCCTGCCGCCAAACGGGCTATAAACGAGAAAAAACAACGCCAAAAATAATACGAGAATGTTGCCTTTAATGCGATCCTACGGGCGAAATCACGAAAAATCGAGCCAATAAACCCCAAAGATTTTTGCCTTCCCGGTACCTTTCAACGAGTGGAAAATTCAAGGTCAAGACCACCATCCTCGCATGCCAAATTCACTTTTTGTGATGAACCCACGTCGCCAGTCGCCCTCCGGCAAGAATCGCGGTGACATCGGGTAGCGGCTGGGGCGAGTGCGCTCGTATTGAAATCGAGAGATGGCTGGGATGTGTCCTGGAATTTAGAGCAGGTGGGGAGGGCTCCGATGTCGACTAGGTCTCAACAGCTACGCGACACGCCTAATGACACCCTCCCGAACCCTTTCCTGTGCGGCGCTTACCGATCTATCACTTTCTCTTGGTCTCGGTCTGCTTGTTGGTCCATCTCTCTCTCTCTCTCTCTCTCTCTCTCTCTCTCTCTCTCGCTCCCTCATGCGCTGCAAGTCTCCATCTCTCTGGCTGTCTCTTTCACCCTGTCTGTCTCTCATGTTCACTTACTTGGCCCGACGGCGCAGACGGCGTACCCGACGAGCAGCAGAAAGGTGAAGATTAGCGGAATTGGACCCATCGTTTATCTGAAGGCGGCTGGGAAATGACATGACGAGAGAGAGAGAGAGCGAGAGCGAGCGAGAGAGAGAGAGAGAGCGAGAGAGTTAGCGAGAGAGTTAGCGAGCGAAAGCGAGCGCGCGTGAGAGAAAGAGAGAGCGAGAGAGACAGATGTAGATAGAGAGAGAGACACAGGGGCGAGAGAGAGGGAAAGATCGAGGGACAGACAGAGGGTGAGAGAGAGCGCGAGAGAGAGACAGGTAGATAGAGATCGAATATCGCAATCTCAAGCTCAATAAACGCGCAGATAGCGGAATAAAATTCCGCATTTCTTCGCTCGGCCTTAGTACTTATCCGGAAATTCTCAAGCAATTATTCCCTGTCTAATGAGCCCAGGGTAAGTTCTCGGAGGAAGAAAAAGCGCAATTTTGAGATTTGAAAAAGAAGCTAGAGAGAGACAGAGCGAGGGAAAGAGAAATAGAGAGAGAAAGAAAGAGAGAGAGAGAGAGAGAGAGAGCGCTTTTCCAAGCTTAACCCCAAAGCGCAGCCTCAGGAAAAAAAAAAACATTTTGTGAACTCGAGCCTGAGTACCGTCATAATGATGAAATATTCCAAGCCAAAATCCCAGCCGTGTTAATTAATTTTTGGGCAGTGGAATCGGGGTTACGGGCGAGGCGGAGCTGGCGGGAACTGGCGGTTTCTCCGTGGATTTGAGGCGGATGGACTTTCAGGCGCGAGAATCCCCGCGAAAAATTTGACGACCACCAAATGGCAGGAAATTCGAGACGACCCTTCGAAAAACACGCTTTTCGACGACATCTAGACGAAAAAGACATGAGACGCTCGGGGGAGAAATGCGTGGGTGTGAAAAGGGCACTTCGGAAGCATCCCTGAAAACCGGCAATAATTACCGTCAAAGAATCTCTGCTAGCCTGCCCCCTCTATCCCCTCCAATTCCTCAAAGAATCCTGCTAGCTGCCCCCCTCTATCCCCTCCATTCCTCAAAGAATCTCTGCTAGCTTGCCCCTCCATCCCCTCCAATTCCTCAAAGAATCTCTGCTAGCCTGCCACCTCCATCCCCTCCAATTCCGCAAAGAATCTCTGCTAGCCTGCCCCTCCATCCCCTCAATTCCTCAAAGAATCTCTGCTAGCCTGCCCCCCATCCCGTCCAATTCCTCAAAGAATCTCTGCTAGCTTACCCCACTCAGCTAAAGTACCTTAATACATCGAAGAATCACGGATAACCGGTTATTTGCATCCAATAATTAGCATACAAACTAAAATGTGCTTGATTAGCATTTCCGGTGGGGCATTATTGCTCTCTAGCTCAGCAGGTGGGACGCTCCAGCCACCTCCCGCCTCACTTCTTCTTGTTGCGGCCGTCCACTGCTGGTATTGCTGGTGATCAGTACGATTTATTCGCTTTCAGAAAATGCCTGCCAACAAGTCGCGTGGAAGAAGCCCGGTGCGGTCCGGCGTGCAAACGCGGGCACAGAAGAGAAAGGCCTGAGGAAGGGCCAAGGCCGCAGCTGCCGCAGCGAGTCGATCAGTCTATCCACCGCCGCTCCAATAGCGCCAAACAATGCAAAGCAGGGTTCCCGTGGGTGCGGGAAAATACTTGCCGTGTTTAGCTCGTCCTCGAGCACCGAGCGCGCCTCGTCGAACAGGCCGTCAAGGCCGAACACCCTCCGCCCGCCGAAGGCGAGAAGAGTGGTGGGAAAGTGCCGCCGCGCGGCCGTTCGTCATCCGCCGACCGCGCGAAAAGCCCCAACAACCTCGACGTAGGGCTTCTATTAGTGCGGGCAAAATACCTGCCGTGTTTAGATTGTTCTCGACCACCGTGCCCCCTCGTCGAGGCCGCCCAGGCCGAACACCAGCCGCCCGCTGAGGGCCACAAGCGAGCGGAGGAAGCGCCGGAGGCCGCAGCTGCCGCAGCGAGCCGATCTCCATCTACTGGCCGCTCCAAAAGCCCCAACAACCTGCAAGTAGGGCTTCTATTAGTGCGCACAAGATACCTGCGGTGTTTAGATCGTCCTCGAGCACCACGGGCGCCTCCTCGAACAGGCCGCCAAGGCCCCTGAAGGCGACAAGGATGATAGGAAAGTGCCGTCCCGCGGCCCTTCGCCAGCTGCCGACCGCGCGAAGAGCCCGAACAATATGGAGGTAGGGATTCTATTAATGCGGGCAAAATACCTGCGGTGTTTAGATCGTCCTCGAGCACCACGGGCGGCTCCTCGAACAAGTGGCCCGTGATGATCGCGACCGTCGCGCCCCCACCCCGGAGGAATGTGAGTTTTCTAGCGGCTAATGCGCATTAACACCAATTTAACCTAATTGCCTACCTAACCCACACAACCTAATTTGCATAAGGTGAAAATAGGAATTGCTTTCTTTTTTGCCGGTTGTGCTCGCGAGTCTGGTCGTAGGCTGGAGCCTTCGAAAAGCCAACAAAGCTAAAAACAAAGCACTTTCTATCACGTACTTAGCCATTCTCGACTAATACAAAAAGTTCGGCCCTCCGCCCCCCGAAAAGGCTAAAGAAAGCGAGATTAAAGGGAGGGTGACAGGTACAGATATCCTTGGGTTTTCGCAGTTCTGTTCCGTAGCAGCCGACCGATATCCTTTTTTCATCATTTACATGTCGCTTTCCAGAAGGGAGACCGTGTTCTCTCTGTGTTGACCGGCAACCTGCGAGGAAAGCCAAGCCCGCCGTACCTCTACAAGATCGGAAAAAGTCAAGTATGTTTGAGTAGTTTTATTTATTTCGAACAAATTCGTATTTCTCAATTGTTTTATATCTAAAAGCTATGTAAAATACTATCAAACAACTTTATATTTCGCCATCTGGCCGCAAAAAATCAGTGGCAAAAAATTTGGACCCCCCGCTAACAGCCTTACTTCGATACATCATTAATATTGTATTTGCAGGAGCTCACCCGCGTCCAGGAGCGCCGGCTCTTGGTGCGGATTCCGGATGTGTTGGAGAAGACGCTGGAAGAGCTCTGCATCTGCTGTGACGCCACCGACATCTACATTGCCAAGGGGCCGCTGAAGCTTTGCAGGAAGTGCTGGGACTCGGTCCGGTTGGGATTTTCGGATTTTTCCGAAACCTTTGCCTTCTAGGGGTTGGACAGGAGTCCTCCACCGCTGCGATCCCAACGAGCCGTCGCACCAGGAAAACGCCAACAACCCGTTCTCGAGTATGTTACCGGTACCCGAAAACAAATAGCCACTTTTCAGCGCTCAAAGGGGACAACTGCCTGGAGTGCAAGACCCGGCGCGCTGTGCAACACGGATGGTCGCCGGTAAGAGTTTCACCGACACAGTCGGAAACCCCGACAGCCATAATGCCGACAGCCCAAACCCCAGATCTTAAAACCATTCATGGGTAAAAAAACAACCCGGAACGATCAGGTTTTGGCTGTCGGCATTTTGGCTGTCGAGATCATGGCCGTCATTCGTTTTTATGCACGAACGCATAAACGTTATGAATTATTATTTTACAGAGTCACCCCGCCGTCCGCGCCATCCTCGGACTTCCGGCCGAATGAAGAATCAACACTCGACAACCCGACAAAACTCGACCACCACCCCATAGCCCTAACGTTAACATTAAAAATTGTTCAATGATACTCGTACCCAATACTCGTTTCCTTTGTGATCCCTTATCCCATGTCACCATCGCCAAATCACGACTTTTCGTCGAATAAAAGTTAAGAAAAACTACATGGAGGCACAGGAAAGGTCGAGCAATAAACACACAGCATGAAAAACCCTGAGAGAGAGAGACAGAAGAAGAGAGAGAGAGACAGAGGCAGGCTAGCAGAAATTCTTTTTTGCCTAGTTGTCCTTGTCTAGATAAGCGGTTTATTGGCCTTTTAGAAATATTTTTGCGTTTTCTTAAAGCGAGCACCATCCCTCCAAGAATGCGGGGGGCCATTAGGCTGATCCGGATCGGGATTTCTATCCGAAAAATCCGGCCCGGCCCCAATCAGTCGGCGGATAATCTCCGGGTGTTTTTGGCCTTCGGATGGATAAGCAGAAATATTGGAGACTACAGGACAATGGACCAAGGTGAGTCAGTGCTGGAAGAAGGTTCAAAGAGGCTCTGCTAGCTTGCCGCATCGAATTAAGCAATCAACTAATATGAGGCCCTAAACAAAATAATGGTAGCTTTTATTCCCAAATGATCTCCGCTAGCCTGTCTCTTGCATTCTCAAATGATCTCTGCTAGCCTGCCCCTTCCATTCCCAAATGATCTCTGCTAGCCTGCCCCTTCCATTCTCAAAAGATCTCTGCTAGCCTGTCCGTTTCATTCCCAAATGATCTCTGCTAGCCTGCCTCAATAGCAATTGGATGCTGAGAAAAAGTTGGTCCCCCGATAATGCAAAGAACCGAGGTATCTGCCAGTTTTCAAGTTTCTCTGCACGACTAGCCGGCACCCGATGTTTCCCAAACGGTTCTGCTAGTTGGCCTATATCGCGCTCCATTCTACCGTAACCTAAATACCGCCCAGGATCTACCGTATCCGACTCATCCGGGTAAATCCTAATGGATGCGGGTAATTCTCGGCTGCCTCCGCTGCCGGGCCCAAAAATCTGTTATTGCCTTTGTGGGGTACGGTGATTTGCGGGGGGTTGATTCTCAGGATTTGTTGAAATAGGAGAGGAGGGGGAGTGGGTGTGAGGGATGGTATAGACAGACTACCGTAACCCCCTCCGGATAATCCGACCCAATTGGCCGAGTGGAGCCGAGAGAGGGCGGATCAGCCGCGCCCGCCCCTGATTAGCGGGCCCTGCCTTTTAAGGGCCCACTAGGGCCATCAGGTATCGCCAGATCCTTGTGAATTTTGGTTACCTTCCCGTAGTAAGGTTTTCATCGCCTTAAATGGTTTCATTGCACAAATTTTTGGATTGACACACCTTTGGGCACCTTGAAAAACGCCGATTTCACACACTTTTTCAAAACACGATTTCAAAACGCCAATTTTTAGGTACCTTCGATACGGTAAGCGCCCAGTTCCGATGCCTTACGATACGTAATAGCTTGACTGATGACTTTTCTTTTCGATATCTTCATTTAACGTCTATTCACCATTAAACCCCGCGATTTTTGGCGATTTCCTTATTGTTTTGGTACTTTAGGGTGCTCAATATCCCGAGTTGAAAATTTTTTGTATAACTTTACATGCCCCAATTGATGAAATCTTGGTACTTAAGGCCCCAGATTGTCGTGATTTTTGTACCCCTTAAAAATACCGAATTTTTAGTTTTGGTTTCCGAACACCTTTCAACTGGTAATCCTTAAAGGCCTTTGGGACGCTGGGGTACTCAGCCGCAGGGGTTGCGGCTGGCTGCAGGGCGCGGACACCGTGGCGGCGTACATAGGAGTTCCGCGTGGGCAAGGGTTGCTCGGGCAGGTCATCGCTGTCCGCCGCTCCCTCCTAGTTGGTGAGCGTGGTATAGTGGATAGCGCGCTGGGCTGGGATTCTCACGGTGCGGGTTCGGCCCCGACGACATCTTTTGCTTTTTCGCGCAAATCATCTTACCAGAGGCGTTTAAGACACCTCACCGCCTGATTTAAATCGCCCGATCGCTGAAACTTGGAGAATAAACCCTATGGCCTGTTTTAACCTCCAGGTTCGGAAACGCGGCATTTACTGAGTTTTACTTTTAATTTCTAGATACTTTTTTTAGGTGGTAAGAGTAAAATTCCCGGTTAACTTACGATACCTAATAGCTTGGTTTCCTACTTTTCGATTTTTCGATACCTTTAAATGACCTAATGCCCTCAATCTTTCATCTAGAAGGATCAGAAAGCTGACAAGCTTGTTAGCCTTTTTTGTCCTGCTTTCATAAGTTTTAATCTGTTTTCGATACCTTCCAACGATATTAAAGCTAATGGAATTTCAGGGAATTGACCATGATATTCCTCATAAAACTGCTTCTTCTATCACCAGGCCAGCTGGCCGCGGATGGGGATGGGGTCGACAATAAGATATATTCCGGCTCGGCCCCGGATAATGCTTCAAAGATTGCGCCCGCCCATAATGTGGTGGGTACTAAATTTAATTTCTGTCTGATGAGTGTCTGCCCTAGCCATTTGCCTTCAACGTGCCTTTAAAACAGCGGAAAGTGGCCCGGAGGAGGGAGAGAGAGCGATGGCTGATATCCCCCCGGGTCTCTCGAGATTGCCGACTACGGTAGTAGGGAGGTATGCATTCAATGTATCTTAAAAGGGATGGAGGGCAGGCTGGCAGGGGTTATTGGGGAAACGAAACTGTTGTAGCAAAGATTATTGAGGAATCGACGATTTGTCTAGACGAGAGAGAGAGGGAGAGAGAGAGAGAGAGAGAGAGAGAGAGAGAGAGAGAGAGAGAAAGAGGGAGAGAGAGAGGGCGCGAGAGCGAAAGTGATAAAGAGAACGAGAGAGACAGAGAGACAGAGAGAGAGGGCGAGAGAGCGAGAGAGAGGTGACGGATATAGAGACAGAGCGAGTAAGATAGATAAAATATAAAGAGAGAGTGAGGGAGAGAGTAAGAGAGAGTGTGAGCTAGAGAGAGATAGAGCGCAAGAGAGAGAGAGGGAGAGAGAGAATGAGAGAAGGAGAGGGGAGAGTGGAGCTAGATAGAGGGAGAATCTTTGGAAAATCCGAATCAACCCAATTCCAGATTCGAATCGGTCATATTGGTGCCGTCAACACGATGCCGAACTACGAAAAAGTGCTCGAGCTGTCCCGCCAGGAGCTGCTGGCCGACGGGACGTTTGGAGATGATTTTGATGTCGAGTGAGTGATTTGAAGTCCGCTCTCTCCTCGCTCTATCTCTCGCTCTTTCTCGCTCTCGCTCACTCTCTCTCTCCCTCACTCTCTCAGGCTCTCTCCCTCTCCCCTCTGGAACTTCTCCAAGAAACGCTGCTGGTTTGCCCGCGTACCGCACTTTTACCATGGCTTTCTGCTAGCTGGCCCTACTCAAAAATATCTCGTATTCAGTTAACTTACTAAATCAATAATCCTGAGATAGATCGAAAAAATTTAAACGGATTTAAGGGTCTTCCGCCTTATCGAGGGGGCAGGGTTTCGTACCTTTTTCTCAGATTCCAAATTTTCCAATATCGGAAGAGGAATATTTTGTAACTGCCGTATACCTATTCTAAACCGAAAAACTTTACAAAGTTTGGAAAAAAAAATCGACAACAATCGATTTTATATTTTTAAAAATCATTCTTCTCCGCCATACAAATTTCCAGCCAAGCTATCCAGAAAAAAATCCAAAACCATGATTCACTTTTTAATAAAACCTAAGTGCCTGCGGGAGGCTTTAGGATTTGGATTGGTGGGTGGTGATATCTGGGGATTTTGTCGGGCCGTAGGGATAAACCTGCCATTCCCCCCCGGAGGTCATACAGTAATCCGGGCTTATCCCCCGGGTCCCGCCACGGGGATTTGTCTACCCGGGATTTTGTGGAGGAACGGGAATACTGTATATACAGGATTACGATCCATCAAAAGGGAGACTACAAGGTGGGGGCGGGGGTCGGAAAAATATTATTTTCTATAGGAAAAAAATAATTCAGAACTTATTTTTCTGGGCAAGCTAGCAGGGACTCTTTATGAAAAATGAGATCTGGGCAGTCTAGCAGAGAATCTATGCGAAAAAGATTTTTCTCAGGGGCGTCACAACTTCTTAAAATCCTTTTTTTTGGCAGGCTAGCAGAGAATCTTTGCGGAAAATACTTTTTCGAGGGACGCTAACAATTCTTAAAACTTTTTTTTGCGGCAGGCTAGCAGAGACTGTTTGTGGAAAAGATAACGGAAGGAGGCAGCTAGCAAAAACAGGTTTTTATAGTAAAAAGTTTGTAAAAAGTTATAAAACCGGGCAAGCCAGCCCAGATTCTGAAGGAAAGGAGATAAATCGAGCAAACTGGCAGGGATTTTTGCGGAACATGAGAATCGGGCAGTCTCGCAGCGTTCATTTGCGGAAAATGTCGCCAACCCGGCGAGATGACAGAGATTCTTTGCGGAAAATTGACAAGAACAGGGCAAATCAACAGCGATTTCGTCTTTTGGTGGAAAAAATGGAATTGGGGCAATCTAGCAAAGGTGTTTGTGGAAAATGGAAAAGCCCGGCAAGGTAGCAAGGTTTTCTGTGGAAATTGACAAAAACCGGGCAAGCTAGCAGCGATTCTTGGTGGAAAATGGGAAAACCAAGGCAAAAAATAAGGAGACGATCAGAGATTCTTTGAGATTTTTCGGTAAACTAGCAGCGATTTTAGGGGAAACAATAATCTGGCATTCATTCGATTTACCAAACCCTAACCTTTTTAGAGTAATCAACAAGAACGGCTGCGGTGATGCGTTCGAAGGGGTGGCTGCGGCTGCCGATATGTACCACGTCGACAAAGTGATGGCATTCCTCGGGCCCTACTGTAATTCTGGTCAGTTTTTCGGCAGAACAAAAAGTGTAAAAACCTAGACATAAACAATACTACACCTAGCCTAAGTTACGCCTAAACCCAGAGATTCTTTGGATCCTGAAAAACCCGCATACTTTGACTGACACATGTCAACGGTACTGAAAGGTAGTTGTCTAGATCTAGTCCCCCGAAGGGGGTCGAGTCGAAGCTGCCATGTCCTTTTAAACGTGTTTTTTTTTCAGAAATGGTCCCCGTCGCCACGATGGCAGCCTACTGGAACAAGCCGATCATCGCCTACATGGCCACCTCGAACGCGCTGGCCGACAAGAAGATCTACAAGACGTTGGCCAGGTCAGCTAGCGGACATTCTTTGAGAAATATCGCGCGCCTTTTCTGTAATACTGTCAATTCTAGAGTCTCAATCCGGACGATCAACACCCAGGCCGAGGCCACCGGCGCGTTCATTCGTCACTATAAATGGCGAAAAGTGGCTTTTGTGACGAATGCTGGGGCGGCAGCGTATGAAAAGATTGTCGCCTTCGAGAAGGTCTTCCGCCGCATGGGCGTCAACGTCGTCAAGAAGGTTAGCAGATGGGCAAACTAGCAGAGACTCATTGAGAAACGGAGCCATGGCAAGACAGCAGAGATTTTTTAGGAACCTGTTGAGAACCTGGGGCGAAGGCTAGCTAGCAGAGATTTTTTAGGACGCCTGAGCGAAAAGCCAGCTAGCAGAGATCCTTTGAGACCAGGTAGCAAGCTAGCAGAGGCTCTTTAAGGTGACGAAGCGGGGCGAGTTAGCAGAGATTCTTTGAGATTTTGGGCCAAAAGAAAGCTAGCCAAAGCCATTTAGGAAACCAATCCTTTTTCAGATCGTTTTCGACGAGACGGCCACCGCCCAGGACATGATCAGCAGCGGCCAGATCGACGAGATCAAGACGACCAGCAGAAGTATCCAATTTTATGGGTAGCCCCAGTTACCGTAATCATTTAGTCGTTATCGCGCTGTTCTCCTCGGTTCGTGACCTCACCACCGAATTCCGCAAGGCTACGGAAGCGTCCGGGCTGTCCACCTCGGAATACGTTTTCGTCTTCCCCTCAATCCAGGGTAATTAGCTATTTTTATCTGATTGTTTCGGTAACGATATGGAATCAACGCAGAGTAGGAGTCTAGTAAAATAATCCAATTTCGTGTCGTGATCAAATAATTTTGAATTAATTAACTTTTGGCAAGCTAAAGCATTTTGATTTAAAAAATTTAATCAGTTCACGGCAGGAATCGATAAAGCAAAGAATTTTAGTTTAGCTGTTTTTGCATTTTTAGTGTCGTAATCGGTTCATGATTCAGTTTTTTTTGTTTGTCAGACGCGATGTAACGAATTTTCTAAATTTGCTGATCCATCCAGAAAATTTATAGATGAAAACAATTTTTCGTGAATAGACCAAGTTGCAGAAGGAGCTAATGGGGCATCTCCATTTGTTGGATCCTCAAACGACATGCTCGACGCGGTCAAGAAGAATTATGCTAATTGCATTCTGGTGAGCGGATTGACAGAGATGCTTCGGGAATTGGAGGGGATGGAGGGGGCAGGCTAGCAGAGATTCTTTGAGGAATTGGAGGGATGGAGGGGCAGGCTAGCAGAGATTCTTTGAGGAATTGAGGGGATGGAGGGGGCAGGCTAGCAGAGATTCTTTGAGGAATTGGAGGGGATGGAGGGGGCAGGCTAGCAGAGATTCTTTGAGGAATTGGAGGGGATGGAGGGGGCAGGCTAGCAGAGATTCTTTGAGGCATTGGAGGGGATTGAGGGGGGCAGGCTAGCAAAGATCTTGGAAAAATACCTGCCACGCGTGGGCGAGCTGAGATCATCTCGCAAATTCCAGATCGATGACGTCAACGGATTCGACGATCGTTTGATGACGCCCTTCTTGGAGCGTTTGTCTGCGATTGGGCTCGGAGCTGAGGATATCGATTTGGTAAGTCAAAAAAGATCAAAGATATTATTAAAAGGAGCCAAAAATTTAGCGATTTTTTTGTAGAAAAACATCTACGGCTACATCTCGCTCTACGACTCCATGAAGATTTTCGGGCTCGCTGGGCGCCGTGTGCTGGAGGCGACCAAGAATTTCTCGGAGATCACCAACGGCAAGCGAATGTTTGATACGATGAGGAGGATGACGTTCTCGGGGATGGCCAGCGTGGCTGGAAGCGGCTCCGGAACTGTACTGCTTGATGACCAGGCGGAGAGGTTGCCGTTTTATAGGTATGTCTCTCTCTCTCTCTCTCTCTCTCTCTCTCTCTCCCTTCGCTGATCGGTTGCTTTAGGCTGCCGTTTCCTCAAAGAATCTCTGCTAGCCAGCCCCCTCTATCCCCCAATTCCTCAAAGAATCTCTGCTAGCCTGCCCCCTCCATCCCTCCAATTCCTCAAAGAATCTCTGCTAGCCTGCCCCCTTCATCCCCTCCTATTCCTCAAAGAATCTCTGCTAGCCTGCCCCTTCATCCCCTCCAATTCCTCAAAGAATCTCTGCTAGCCAGCCTCCTCCATCCCCTCCAATTCCTCAAAGAATCTCTGCTAGCCTGCCCCTCCATCCCCTCCTATTCCTCAAAGAATCTCTGCTAGCCTGCCCCTCCATCCCCTCCTATTCCTCAAAGAATCTCTGCTAGCCTGCCCCTTCCATCCCTCCTATTCCTCAAAGAATCTCTGCTAGCCTGCCCCTCCATCCTCCTATTCCTCAAAGAATCTCTGCTAGCCTGCCCCTCCATCCCCTCCTATTCCTCAAAGAATCTCTGCTAGCCTGCCCCTCCATCCCCTCCTATTCCTCAAAGAATCTCTGCTAGCCTGCCTCAAACCCCTTGAATTTCAGCGCCTTCTACGTCTCAGCCGAACGTAATCGTGTCCTCTCCATCTGCAACATCACCCCCTCCCTGATGCCTGCTTCAAAATGTTCAAAAGAAGAGGACAACCCCGGCTGCGTAGACATCGTCAGTAGTCCGCTCGGCTACAAACTACAACCGCAGTCGCCCACCAAAGACACTTTTGTAACGCCAGAAAAATTCGCACACCGTTGGGCCCCCTTTTGCCAGCTTGTAACATATCGGAAAACGATGTGAATGGTCCAATTTTTGGCAAAAACAGCACCCTGGGCGCACTAATTAAGGCTAAAAATTGTTGTAAAAATTTGGGATTTATAATTTCTGTGTTTTTCAGCAAGTATCGGATGTGCAATCTGGGTTCTGGAATTCCGTCGGAGGACAAATGCCGATTGATGAGCCGGCCTGTGGATTCCGAGGGGAAAAGTGAGATTTTTTGGGGCAGCTGGCAGACTATCAGAGAGCATTTTGGATTGAAAGGAAGGCAAGCTAAAAACGCAAGCGATCATTTGGGAAATCAACCGAAATTAGCGTGGTAGCCAACGGAAATGTGGCATCACGCCATCCCTTCAATGCCCCGGCTTCCGGCCTATCCGGAGCCGGTGAGTGGTCCTATATAATGGGATCGAATCAGCTCTCCCAGGACACTCGCTCTCCCCTATCTGCTCCACATCTTAGATTGATACATTATGAAATAGGGATTCTAACCCTTCTGCTCTTGTTATTTTAGTATTATGTAAGTCTCTCATTATGTAGTAATTATATTCTCTTATATCTATAGAATTGCCTTATACAAATAAACCTAATATCTATGGAACCTCCTCATAGAATATTGCACTGAACGTTATAATACTGCTCAATTAAAGGGATCAATATACAAGCTCTGTAGTCACAACCGACGGGGCTACAGAAATGGTGCGTCGCAAGGATCCCCCGGGTCTAAACGTGGCATAACTTTGGTCCAATGCATTGCGGGCGGCGTGCGCCGTCCAACTATATTAAAACTGTGCCTTCTGCAGTCTGGTGCCCTTTCTGTTCCCTTTAGCTTTCCTTTTCCCAGTTCCATTTTTCCTGCGTTTGGTCGCCTGGTCGTCGACTTGCGGACTGGAACCTTGCCCGGTCGCCTTGCCTGGGATGCTTCTGAGCCCATGACGTTTTTTCCTTTTGCGGACTAACGCCGGGACATAACTTGAATGGTAAATTTGGCATAGATAGACGCAGCCCAAGGCGCTGTGGCTGCCCAAGCAAGGGTCAGCGGAGCTAGGTGGATATCCTGGATGAAATTTCAGAGGCGCCCATTCTCCTAGTATTTTCTATCGCCCGTAGTATGTCAATGGGACACTACCAAATAAGACCAGATTCCTTCAGTTTCCTAACCTTTCCAGACGCATTCCTCATGCTTTCGACACCCTCGCTCGGCTTTCCGCACCGTCCGAGCCCTCGCCGGCCCCCGCATCAACATATCCCTTTTAGCGGCTGCCCGTGCCTCGCTCCTTGCGGGCCCGCCGGAAGCTCCCTCACCATCTTCTCCTTTACAACATGCCTCCCCTTCTCATCATTCACCACCGAGCAGCCCAGTTGTTCGCGCCGCTTCACGACATTCGTTTGCTACCGTACCCTTTTTTCTTTTTTAAGTCGGCCCGATTCGTGCTCGACTTTTTTCGCTTACTTTTCCTCTACTTACTTTTGCTTCGGCCAATTAGATCAAAAATATGCAAAAAGATGCATTGTGCCTTTCACATCCATCTCGAACTTGACTCGCTTCTCCCTGCTCGTGATTCCCTGAGCGAAATTCGCAAGACTTATCATACGACTCTTGCTCTCGTAAATAGGCTTAAATACATTGACCAGCATTACGACAATTCTGGACTTATTTTCCGATTGCTCCATAAATACCCCAGCTGGGTGCAAGCAAAAATTAATCGTGATCGCCTCCGAAATGAAGAGGCCTACTCTGTTGCTCAATTTTTTACGACCCTTAATGAAGTGATCTCCACCCGTGAAGATGAATACTCTGCTCATCCTACCCTATAACGTAATCATGCCTTCTCTTCTCATTTCATACTAATCCTTTTCGCAATCTTCTCACATGACCCGTCAATTTTTTTCTTTTTCTGCTCCTACCAACCCTTTCGGCTTCTTCCTCATGGATGCCGTTCACGGCCCTACGCACCCTGGCAATCAATTGAATGAGGCCACGCGTGGAATCTCTGCTCTTCTAATTAGCATCGATGTCGCTAGTTGCGAGCCTGCCTTGGATGCCGCCCGCGGCGTCGGCCTTGTCTGCTCTGGAAGACGCCGATGCACGTCCACGGCGTCGATACCAATCTTAATTATTCTCAAAACTTTAACCTGGTGCTTATTACTGCATGTCTTATGGACCGTCATGGCCAATTGCTTCTCGGTTGCATTTATTCAAGGACTTTCGCGCTTGCCCTCCTTTCCACTTTCTTTTGCACAGTTTCTTTTGCCTGCTGCGATTTATTTCCTTCAAGGATAATGAAATCACCTTCGCCGGCACTTTGGTCGGCTTTTTTTCTCAACAATTCTCTGGTCGCTTCCGCCGCCAGTGCCGCCAACATCCATTATAAAAATTCCTGGGCGACCCCAGATGCCTTTTGTCCCAACCGACTCCCCTGAGGCCGTCGTTATCATTCGAACATCCCACTGGCTTCACGCGTGCTGTCAATTGAGTCATTCCACGACTATCACAGTCCGTCACAGTACAGGTCAGTTACTTTCTATCTATTGTTTTTCTATTGTTTTTCTATTTTTTTTCATTCAACGTTAGCACGAAGCTTAATCTGGTGTTTTCTATGGCTTTTCCCTTAATCATCGAGGCCTGGAATTGCCACGACCAGCGCTTTCTAAAAACTAACGCCTTAATCGACCCCAATTCTCCGGTATCTTTTTGCACCAGCCGCTTTCAAACCCGATTCGGCTTGCCCACATTTTCCTTAGAGCCATTCCCTTTAGCAGATTGTGGCATTGTTCTCGACAAATTCGTCCAAACTAACCAGCTTCTCGTTCGATGCTACGACCCCGTTAATCCGGCGGTTCGGTGCCCTACTGTTTCCCTTACTGTATTCCCAACTATTAGCTCCATTAATAATTTCTATTGGCCTGCATGCCTTCCTACCGCTGACCATGTTGTTCTGCAATCTCTTCAATGGAATTACTATTTACCAGACAAAAATGACCCAGTGACTGTGGTGTTGGGCTCAAGTCTCTTTGCGTTGCCGTTTGAGCATCGGATGCTGCCTTCCGGGCAATCTATCTTCAAAACTGCGGTTGGAACCGCCGTGAGCCGAGCCAAGATGCTCGATTCCCTTCCCTAAAATTGCCCACCTTGACGAGCTGTTCGACGGTGCTCAATTTGCCCGCTTCCGCAAGCTGTTCAAAGCTCTCGAGGAATCTGCCCGCTTCTCTGCTCTGTGCGCTACCCCTGCATCGCTTAAGGAGTTATAAGTCTCTTCTCTCCTGCTTCGGCTTCGCTGGCCCTGTCCATGCTCGTTCTCCCGGCTTCTCTGGCTCAAAACAGCGTGTCACTATCGTGCTAGTCCTGCTCTGTTTCTGCAGCTCTCCTAAATGCATCGACCAACTGTGGCTGGCATACCCACCTCCGGCAAACCCTTGCTTTCCTTCCCACAATTGCCCATCCACAGAGCCAACTGCTTCTCGCTTCTCTGTTGGTTGGTTGCTCCGGTCTATTAGACCGTTCACTGTGTTTTCGCGATCTCCTCGCCGCCGTGCCCCTACTGCCGTCGGCGCCCCCGCGCCTTGGATTTGTTGTTCAATTTGCATTCGCCGGGTGGCCTTATCGCCCTCTGCTCTCTGCACGCGATCCACTGAATGAATTTTGGGAATGTTAACCCTCCTCATTGCGCCACAATTTCCTGAAATCGAGTCTTCTTCTGAAACGAGTTCTTCCGAAGCGTTCCTCAGGAGCGTTCTGCAGTAGCCTTCATGGCGACTAATTGACCTCATGCTAAATTTCTCTTCTCAAGTGACGGAATTTTCCACGCTTGTCGGTCTACCTTGCAATCTGACTATCTCAATTTGAGCGCGTAGCATCGCGCCGTGCCAATCGCTAGTGCTTGTGACTGAAATGCCGAATTCAAGCCCTGCTGTGACTAGCATCCTGAATAATCTCCCAGCACCCTGCCGCATTCCATGCCGATACCGTTCATATTGCTCCATAATCCGCATCGATCGGACATTGCCACGTATTTGAATATCCGTTGCTCTCAATCGCCTTCGGTACTTTCCCGCCGCCTCCGCCGCTTGAATACGATGCTTCGCTGCTGACAATCAGCCAATATTTTCACATCACTTGATCTGTTTTTTCAATGTGCTTTGTTCGCTCCTTGCTACCAACTTGGTTTTGTTTCCCCAGGTTGCTTACGTCAATATCCCAAATTTCTCAATATTTCTTCTGCCATTATCTTCTTTTTGCGTTGTCGTGAGTGTGGCATCACGCCAGAAATTGCCCTGTCGTATCATCATAACAGTATCGGATTTTTACTCTGGTATTCACATCTTTTTGCGTTGTTGGGAGTGTGGCATCACGCCATCCCTTCAATGCCCCGGCTTCCGGCCTATCCGGAGCCGGTGAGTGGTCCTATATAATGGGATCGAATCAGCTCTCCCAGGACACTCGCTCTCCCCCTATCTGCTCCACATCTTAGATTGATACATTATGAAATAGGGATTCTAACCCTTCTGCTCTTGTTATTTTAGTATTATGTAAGTCTCTCATTATGTAGTAATTATATTCTCTTATATCTATAGAATTGCCTTATACAAATAAACCTAATATCTATGGAACCTCCTCATAGAATATTGCACTGAACGTTATAATACTGCTCAATTAAAGGGATCAATATACAAGCTCTGTAGTCACAACCGACGGGGCTACAGGAAATACTTTGAGGAAAAAAACACGATTCAATTACGTATATAATTCTGCAGATGCGACTACACGCTGATTATCGTCTGTGCAGCAGCCACCCTCGCCCTGATCTCCGCCGTCATTTCGGCATTTTTGCTGAAAAGACATTGGTAGGAATTTCCAGAAGACCTTACATTATTTTCCAGCGAGAGTCGAGCCCTAAACAATATGCCGTGGCGCATCTTCCGCGATGATATGAGGATTGTGAACGAGGATGAGGTCAAATCAATGGTACGGTAATACAAAAAAAAGACTAAATTCCTAATTTTGGCATTGGCTGGCAGGCTAGCAAAGACTTTTTAGGAAAGGGCAGGCTAGCAGAGATCATTTGCGAGCCGGATACTGTCAAATTTACCGAAATTAGCTACTTTCATGCTCAGGGCAGGCCAGCAGAGATTACTTGTGAAACGGGGAGTTATTTATATCAGATGCGATGTAAGAAAACCTAGGGCAAGCTAGCAAACACCATTAGGGAGCCGGCAGGCTAGCAGAGAGCATTTGCGGAAAATCCGAAAAGATAATTTTGTTTTTCAGCTATCCCTCGGGTCCCAACGCACAAAACTCTCGAATATGGGCAGCAGTATGGTGAAGCATCACGCGATTATTGGAGTCAATACGCACGCCACCTACCATATGTATCAACAGAATAGACAGATCAAGTTTGGGAGACAGGACTTGGTGCTGCTGATGAGGGTGAGTGTCGAGAGAGAGAGAGAGCGAGACGGAGAGAGAGAGAGCGAGAGAGAGCGAAAGAGAGAGCGCGAGAGAGAAAGAGAGCGGAGGGCAGTGAGAGAGAATGAGAGAGAGTGTTTGTGAGAGAGAGAGAGGGACAACAGCGATATAGAGAGAGCGAGATTGAGCAAGATCTAGGATGACAATGAGTACGAGGGGCAGACCGAGAGACATGAAAAGCTGGAGCAAGAGCGGTTGAGAGAGCGAGAGAGAAAATGAGAGAGAGCGAGAAAGAGGGGATAAGTGAGAGAGACGAGAGAGAGAGAGAGAGAGCGAGCGAGCGAGAGGCGATAGAGATAGAAAGAAAGCGAGAGACAGAGAAAGAGCGAGAGAGAGAGAAAGAGAGAGAGGGAGAGAGAGTCATAGAGAGGAAGCAGATAACCCCACCTCCAATTTTC